TTATTACGAATATTTTCATGTAGATATTAATTTAATTGGATATTATACCGGTGAAAATTCTTAATATTATTAATCCTTGAATTTTAATAGATAGTTATAGAAACGTTATTAGATTTCCCGACTGTAGTGTCATTTTAAAGTTCAGTACAGTACGTACGGCACATATATAAGTAATCTAAGAAAAAAAACCAAATAAATTAACGACGATTTCAATAAAAATTATCATAAGGCCATAATATAGGAATAGATATGCATTAGAAAACTTTGAGCCGAATAATATCTGTATATATTATGTATATAATATATTGTAATTATATGGTACTCATTAGCAAAATAAATTTCATGGATTACGTTAGCATGAGCAAAATATTCAAGAACATAATTATTAATTACTGAAGCGTGCGTGATCATCAGAAAGTCTAAATAACCTGAAGCCATTCTTTAAAGGAAAAGTTTTAAGTTTTCTACTTTTATAGGTAATTAACCTATAGCGATAGAAATACCTCGTGGGCTTTTAATTTAAAAGAGTTGGAGTGTGTAATGATACAATACAATCATCATAGTCATTGCTCTATTTGTTTTTTATTTTATGTTAATTGTGAACGTAGTGAAATGAGTGTATGGTTAAATTCAACTTTTGCGAAATTTTTATTTATATGATAACTTATGTTTAATCGAAAATCAACACTTATTTCGAAATATCGCACATGGGCGTGCGCAGGTGGACGTTATTTCGCGTTTATACGGTAGTCATGAGGGCGGATTTTTTCGATTTGGTGATTAATGATAAAATATATTTAATAATGCTTGATCTCCGGTAAAATTGAATTGTAAGATTTTATTTGATTAGTCAATTGCTTGTCTTAACTATTAATCCGCTTATGAATCGCTTATGAAACCGTTCATGAAACCGCATAATAATTATAAATCATCATAGTATAATAGTATTTAATTGGCCAATTGCTTTTCTTAGCAGTAAATTGCTTATGAAACTGATCATGAAGCTGCATAATATTTATAAATTATTTATAAATCATTAATAAATCATTACATATATCACTTAATTCTAATAATCACAACATTTCCATCAAAAATTTTCGCTCATATGGTATAATTTTACCAGAAACATTTTTAATAATGCCACAGAGGTCGGTTGCCCAATTAAGATTTAGTGGTATTTTTATTTTTTTTGTAAAAAGGTTGTTTCTTTTCGGTTTTTACGTTATATCTGATCCTGAAATTCGATCATGCAAAATTATAGGGGTGGAAGTTTTTTGTGGCAGAATTAAGGGGGTTTGTCTTGTCAAATTGAACTAACTCAATTGCTTAAATCATCCTTTGAATAATAGCTACAATGTTATAAAAATAAATTTTAATATGAAGCTACAAATAAAATTTCAACTTAAAGCCATAAAACATAAATTAATACAGTTATATTATAAAAAAATCTTATTTCAGCTACAAATACATATATATATATATACAGGTGACCCCGTTAATATCAACCCCGTTAAAATCAACCTAAGCCACAAGACAAATTTTTATAAATTTTTATATATCAACATTAATAAGATTTCTAATTAATATTATTAACATGATTTAAAACCAATTCAAATAGTTGATATTAACGAGGGTCACCTATATATAGAAATACCTTTAACAAACTCAAACCATAATATAAGACTTATTTATATTATGTCTACATCACCATTATATTCCGTCAATCAATTATTACTTCTCCACCAGCCCAACAAACAAAAAATACAGTTCCAATAATATAAAATAAAGAACAAATATTCCAAACAATACTCCAATCATTAGCAGTAACTTCTAATATCCAACCGGTTAATGCTACACCGAAAAAAGCTGGGATTAATCCACAAGTATGTCCCATGCCATATATTACACCCGCATATTTTGGTGCAATATCCATCTATAATTGATAAGAGTTTAATTTATATTAAATGAATAAATTAGTAATAATAAAGAATTAATTAATTAATTACATTGGAAACATTTAAAGCCGAGATGTGGCATGAGTATAATGCAAATCCTATCGTTATTATCAATAATCCTTCATAAGATGTTTTTGCCAGATATGTTACCTATAAATTATATAAACTCAATCAATGAAAAAATAAATAAAACGAAAATTCGATAATTTCTTGTGTTCTTACAAATAATAAAGATATTGATGTTCCAACGCCTGAAATTATACAAACAGTTCTTCTTACAGTTAAAACGGGAATTTTTAATTTATCAATCGCATAATCACAGATATAACCGACTATAATTCCCGTTACAACGTATATAAAATAAGGTAAAGCTAATAAATTTAAAATTTATAAAGTCTATAAATAAAAAATATAATAAATAAATAAAAACAGGATTAATAATATTAAGAATTTTCACCGGTATAATATCCAATTAAATTAATATCTACATGAAAATATTCGTAATAAAATATTGGTAGCCAATTAACTAGATTAAAAAAGCCCCAGTCATTAAAAAATCGACCAATCAAAATTGCCCACACTTCACGACGAGAAAGTAATAATTTCCAAGGAATCTTTTCTAATCTATGTGACCTTGATGATTGACCCTTTGGTAATAAGATATCATTTTCACTTTGAGGAATATCATGAACTTCGTCAGTATTTGCGACATATTCACTGGAATATGATTGATAATTGTCGAAGTTATCATCAGAGCAAACAATCGAATTATTAGTCGGTTTATTAATCGATTTGTCTTCTAAAATCCAATCTAATTCATCTTTGCTAATTCCTGAATAATCTCTTGGATCACTTTTACCATAAAAATACCAAAAAACAGACCAAATGGAGCCAATAATTGCGAATGCCCAAAAAATACTTTCCCAACCAAGCTGACTAGAGCCCAATAAATTTGAAATTGGCATGGCGATTACCATACCGATATAATTTGAAACAGATATTACAGAAACAGCTCTAGTTCGTTCCTGAGACGGAAACCATTTTGCGACTAAAGAATGAATACATGGATAACATACACCTTCACCAAGTCCTAAACAAATCCTGCACAATATAAGTATATAGAAGTTTATTCTGACAGAAATTGGAGTAAGTAAAGTAAAGAGTGTCCAAGTTACGGCAGCTAGAAACAAAATTCAAAAATAATCATATTTGAATAAATTTATTGTTTAAATACAGTAGTTATAATTTAGGTTACCACTTACCTATACCTAATACCCATCTGCCGCCGAATTTATCAGTAAGCGCACCACCTATAATTTGAGTCATCAAATATCCAAAATAAAATGATGACGATACAAGCCCTTGGATTTTAGGACCCCAATTGAATTCTTTAGCCATATAAATTATGGCTATTGACATATTTGATCGATCTTTCATAAAAGCAATGAATAAATAAACATATTTAACAAGTTTTTAAAAGTAAAGCTTTGATATTGGGATATACCGGCATAACTGACGATAATAGCAGAAACGCAAAGAATGATAATTATAATTCTCTTTGGGATGTATTTAGGCCACCAGTTGCTAAAATTTTTAAATGAATTAGAAGATAAAACATACTACACTTTTATAAATAATAACCTACGTAAATATTGATGCCATAACGAATCTAGAAGAGTTACTGACGCACAATATTATTAAATGAATTTAAAAGATTGCAATAGTTAAAAGATTATTTGAGGATACAGTATGCAATCTTATTTTCCTTTTGAATATTTACAGTGCAGATCAATTGATTAATTTAGATTTATAGATGAACTTTTTTTTGTTCCTAATGATGTAGCACACTGATCTTCCCCAGCATCGCCACCAATTTTTTTAACTACCCCAACAACACCCCGAATTTTTCTGCAAATCACGTGAATTTTAAAGTGAATCGATTTATTAAGATAACTTGTAATTTAACAAAATATAGATTCAAATTTTGCGAATTTATTACATTTAAATAGTTTGACGTTAATTTTATTTTATACAAATAAAAAAATAAATAGCCTATCAAACAATACAGCTATTACTGAATTTGGTATATTTAAGCGAAATTGATAATTTTCAATAGCAATTACCAAAGAATTCTCAGTAGTATTAAGTATGTTATTTGACAATATGAATAGATGTTCTAAATAAAAGGGTTTTGCTACTATTTTAATCATTCAAATTAAAAAGCTTCTAATAAATATATTATAATTTTTGA